CGCGCCGCCCTCCGCCCCGGCTCGCTGAAATCAACGGGCCGCCGTCGCCGCCGCCGTACCCGCGCACGCCGATCGTAGCCCGGCGCGCGTCGCCTGTCCCGGTACACGCTCCTCTCGACTTTCTCGCGTGCTCACTCGTCCGATGGTAGATCATGCCTGGGAGCGAGTGGTTTTTTGCCGTGCTTCTCGGCAAGAAAATGGTGCAATGCCGGGCCATGGCGACCGGGCTGCCCTTTACTCGCCAACCGCTGTACGTCTCTTTTTGTGCTTCTTTTTTTTGTTTTTGAGTTTCAGAGTTTTAATTTGACGTTCATAATGGTAGACCGCAGGAGGTCAACGTAAGCCAGCTCCCGAAGCTCAAGCTCTTTGAAACGTTCATGCACTTGGAGGCCAAGAGCGAGTGCCCGCACTGGATCTACGAGATGCTGCCGCTCTCGCCGACGGACGGCGTGCCGTACGAAGAGCTCAAGACGTACCTGCTGCGACGCCGCGACGAGCCGGTCGCGGGCATGGCGCTCGACATTCCGCGCTACAAGATCATTGTGCTGCCGCCCGGCGGCGAAGCGCGGCTACTCGGCTACATTGGCCACAACTTGATTGCTGTCATTCGTCGGAACAAACTCAAAAAGTAGTTTCGTCACCCTAATCCTATTTCCCGTTTGATCAACTACATGTACCGTACTAGTAAGTTGTTGTCGAGATAGATGGATGGATATATAGATAGATAGATAGATAGATAGATAGATAGATAGATAGATAGATAGATACGGAGACCGATGCGGAGATGGATAGATATTCCGAGTCCACTTGCTGCACATAGCCGTCGGGCATGCAAGAATTTAAGCTTTGACAAAGAAGTGGACCCTAACCTCGCGCGAAAACACCTGTATCGCACGGGGCCAGCGGTTGCCACCGACAACGTTCCTACGAAGCGACTAGCGCTTCCACGGACGCTGCGGCGCAGTGTGTTGACGTAGAATTGATGAACCAAGCGCGGCAGGTGCTGGGTGAGGCCTTGACAACAGCTCTCGTCCTCGACGAGCTCTTCTCGAGGGCCTCTTGTCGACCTAGTACGCCGCTGATCCGGCCAACTGGTTCCACCGTGGCGCCAAATCCATTGCGATTGTGGAAAAGACGACGAACGCTGGCGACGGCTCTTTCTCTGGGGTCGACTGCCTGCTGGACAGGGTTACCACCTTGGAGCTCCATCGACCGGAACACCGGAAGGTCTCTCCTGCGACATGTGTAAATACTGTCAGAGGTGGGTTCCGCTAAGTTGACACGCATCAACAAATCCGGATAATGGGCGGCGCACCGCCTGCCAGCTCATCATTATCCGGCGAAACATCGAAGCTCGCCAGTCGCGGTTGCGGATGGGGAAAATGTCAAAACTTGGTGAACGTGGGCCCAAATTAACCCAAACCAGGGTAAATTGCATAAAAATACATAGTCTTGGTTTTACTATTGGGTGGTTCGGGGTGGCTCGGGGTGGCTCGCCTCGGCGTCTCCACATGCCCCTCTCCTCCTACGCCTCCTTAACCGCAAACAAGACCTGTACAACAATCCTTTAACCTTCCACAACACCTCACATCACCCCCACCTACCCTTCCCTGCGACTACCTTGCCAAACAATACCAATACCCTGCCGGGAACTTGAACGAATGGCTATTTTTTCTCCACATTCCTGTTTTGACGCAGCTTTTACCAAACACACCCAGTTCTGTCATTTTCCCTTGCGGATGAGCCAATCTCATAATCGACGCCAACAGACTGACGCCAACAAGGTCCGAGGGCTGATGCGGAAGAAGATGCATGCGGCTGCCATGACGTCGGCATCAACAAAGACGCACACGTAGCTATATAGCTCGACTGTACATTGCATGTAAGACAACGAGGATCCATTAAAGAAACACAAAATTAAATAGGAACCAGGAGCTTCGAGGCAGAGATCCGAGGCGTCGCTGGCGAGCGCACGCGTTTTCATCGAGGGTGAGTCTTTCGCAGTGGAAAAAAGATAAGCGATGCGTAGGAAGAAGCGCATATTTCGATCACGATTGGAATGCAAGCACCTCACTGGAACCCTTCGACGAACGCGGCCCCCAAGGCCAAGCCAGGACCGACCATGTCGGTCCGCACGACACGCGCCGCCTCGGCTGCCTGCACACGCACCACCTCGACTGTCTAGACGCGCACGCAGCGCGCGGCAATAGCACTGGTAGTGATGGCCGTCCCTGGACGCCACGTCTGTGAGCTCGCTGCCTTGTGCACCGAGTACGAAAAACGCCTCGTGAGCCCCGCACCGACAGCAGCGTTCGACTGTCCGGGCTCAGCGACGTCGACGCGGGTAGATCCAAAATGACGATTTTCAAATGACGTGGCGGCGTGGGATCGAAGCTCTGTGCATTCGATCCAATCAAAAGCGCTTTTCTTTCCGGCACTTCAAGATGGTTCAGCACACCCGGCAGCACAGGTTGCGGGATCTGCTGTCGGGAAAGGACGCTCAGACACGCTCCATCGTCTTGGGTCAAGCGAGTACTTTCTTGCATTGCTTCCTTTGCGGACTGCACAAGGCTATGCGAGCTACTGGTACGTACGTGCTGCTATTAGCACCTCGCTCGCAGCGACTAGGGACCAGCCAAGGCACGTGCCAGTCAAACACCCGCACGTGCGTGGTTTCCTGCCAGCGATGGGTGCTCTTTACCCTTGAGCCCTACACGACCGAGGTACCACGCAAAAGACAACGATTTGCAATCAAGTAGGCTTCGCCACGTTATAGGGCATCGCTTAAAAAGTTCGCGGATGTCCCTTGCCAACCAAACGCCGCCACCGAGGCTACTGCGCTCGGGTGATGGCGTGCGTCGATTACAAACCGAATCTGGACGCTCAGTCGATGGCTGCACTTCATCAATAACATGAGCGATCATCGCAGCTCAGGCGATGTGCGGGCGCATCACCGTGGGACGCGGCTTGAAGTTGGCCTGCGTAACCAACTACACATCTTCTACAACGCCAACCTCCGCCGTGGCGATCGTCATCGTCCTCGACTCGCACGTCCGCAGCAAAAGTGACCAAGACCGTAGCTTCGAAGCACGTCGCTATAGTATTCACCTAGCCCACTGTCCGTCACTATTCCTGCAAGAACAACCAAGATTCAATCCGATTCAGGTTCAGGTTGATGTTCGCACTTGGATCGCCTCCCACTGCGGGAGCCACGGTCGCCTATCATACCGCACGTCTTCAACAGCTGTGGCACTTGCACCCATCGATCTTCAACGCTCCAGCGTCCGGGCAAGGCGTCGCCAGCACGAACGGCAAGGGCAATTTCGTGCCTGCTGGAAGGGTCGCGCTTGTATCCGGAAATCCGGATACAACGCCAGCGGACGCGTGATTGGGCAAACACCGTGTCTCGAACGCGCAGCGCGTGTTCCGGCGGAACGCGCGGTGCCAAGAGCATTCGTTTGCGTGCGCTTAGCCCCAACCGGCACAGTCGGTTCGATCGCTCTCGACCAAGTCGTCGTCGTCGTCGTCGTTGTCTGCCCAGTGCCCACTGGCGTCAGTAGCCGCGCCCATCCCACTCCGCCACCTCGTCGCCCAGCATGGCGATCACTTTGAAACTACCCCGCATGGCGCCGGTGCCGGAATCGCACCGCCTCCTCAAGGCGTCGGCCATGCCGGCGTACGCCTCTGTGCGCGCGTCGAGCCCGACGGCCGACGACGACGCCTACGACCGCGACTGCGAGCGCGGCGTGCCCATCGTGCTCCGGCACTCGGCGTCCGGGCTCTACTCGCCGACACACAATGCGGCGCCGCGTGCGTTCCCGATGACGTCGCACGCGTCCTTTGGCCTGCTCGTGGCCATGACGTTCATGACGCTTTTCATGTCGGTCGTCGGCGCCGGCATGCTCAGCCTCCCGTACGCCTTTGCCTCCGCGCCATTCGGGCTCGTGCTAAGCAGCTTGGTGTACGTCGGCCTCTCGATGGCGTTTAGCGCCGACACGCTGCTGCGCGTCCACATTGCCACGTCGCTCTCGACCTTCAACGCGCTGGCATTTGCGGCGCTCGGCCCGTGGTTCTGCCACGTCGTGTCGCTGAGCACGATCCTCGCGGTCTTTGGCGCGTGCGTCGGGTGCCTCGAGATCGTCCACGACCTCGCGCCGTTCCTGCTCGAGCTCGTGGGATTGCCCGCGTCGCAGCACGCGCCGACGATCGTGCTCTGTGTCTTTGTGGCCATCATGTACCCGCTCACGTTGCTCAAGAAGCTCACGGCGCTTCGTTTCTCGAGCTACATTGGCTTTAGTGCGTCGCTCTATCTCGTGGTGGCGATCTGCGTCGCCAAGGCGCAGCGCCCGACCGCTGTGATCGCGCCCAAGACAGAGTGCAACCGGTCGTGCTCACCACCGCGCACCTCATGTCGATGTTCAACTACGCGTTTGTGATGCATTTGAACGTCATTCCGCTCTACGACAACCTGCGGCAAGCGACACACGAGAGCCGCCACACGCCCGGCGGCAGCTTCATCTACCCGGACGCGTCGAAAGTCATGACACGCATCGTGTTTGCCATGTCGACAGTCTGCATCCTCATGTACACCCTCTTTGGTACGCCGACGACCTTGCAAGACGACCTGTCCTATCTGATTTTGGTTCTTATTTCATGTCGCAGGCTACAATGCGCATGCCATGTACGGCGATGCAACCAACGGCAACATCTTGCTCAACCTCGAAGGCGAAGCGCTCATGAACCTCCCACGCGTCGCGGTCTTGGCGACGATTCTCTTTTCGTTTCCGCTGATCTACCACCCGCTGCTCATGCTCTGCGAGTCGTTCACGATGCACATCGTGTACCAGCAGCACCCGAATTCGCCGACGGTCCACGCCGCGTCGCGCCCGGCGCGTGCAATCGCATCAATTGTATGTGGTCTTGTTGATACATTGATATTTTGCTCATATGGTTGGCATTAGGCGCTCATGGGCTTGCTCTTGTTCGTGGCGGCGGTCATGCCCGGCATCCAAGTGACCTTTTCGCTCACGGGCGCGAGCTGCGTGACGCTCATCTGCTACGTGTTTCCGGGCGTGTGCTACCTCAAGCTTGTGCCTGCCGCGCCGACGTGGCGCAAGCTTCTTGTTGCGGGGATTATGGTCGTCGCGTCCGTCGTCGGTGTCATTGCAACCGTCCTCGTCTGCCTTGGGACGGCCTTTTAGCACGTTTCTATGGCTACTATCTATATATCAATCCTGACTGGTTTTGAAATGATGTCGTGGGATACTATGCTTGTGCTTTTGACTGCAGGGCGTCGATCGGCCTCGGTTTCTGGTGCGCACTTATCGACGCGACGATGGATGCGAGCAAGGGAAATTCCCTGGATTCGAGTGCCATGGCGCTGTGGTCCACGCAAATGGTGGCTGGTAAATAGAAAGTGGATGGAAGAAAGTCGGTCGATTGGACAAAGATGGTCCATATTAGCAAAGGCGATGACTTAGTGGCCGACACGCGAGGCAACAAAATTGGACGACGCGTTCTGCATCGTGACCGTGAGCACAAAGACAAGGTACACGATCCACGCGAGGTTGAAGAGCTGGAACCACTTCATGTTCTTCTTCCCAATGCACTTGCCCATCCACGGACAATGGTGGTCTACACAGTTAGTACTCGCATGCAGACTATAGGATTGTATACTACCGTATTTCTCAATGCAAACGCCGCAGTCGTCGCAGTGCTCGGTGCCCCGGAACTGGTGCACGTCGCAAATGTCTAGTCGTGATCACAATGGATCCAAAAATGGTAAAGACTTGGCTACCGCAATAGCTGCACGTGGCAATGATGGCCGGGTCCGTCTGCGTCGTGCCCCGGGCCACGATACCCGGGTCCGTGCACGTGGTTTGGAAGAGAAAGTAGCACGTGGCCGTGGCCATGGCCAGCGACGCCAGCGTGTACCACGCATCCAGCGCCGCGCATCTAGAACGCGCCATGACGAGAAGGCGACAATGACGATCATGCATACTGCTGCCCAATAAATAGGATCGTCGACACAATGATGAGCCCGGTCGTGACGAGGACGCCGATCCAGTGCGGGCCCACGAGCATGAACGGCCGCGCCTCGCGGACGACGTAGCTTTGCCTACGCTCGCGTCAGCATGGCCACGCCTCGTTCGCATCATGCACCCGATCTTGCGGTAGTTGCACCAGCCTACATGCCTGCTATGAGCCCGAGCAGTAGGCGATGCATGTCGTCGTACAAAAGCATCGGCATGGGTCGGTCGGCGTCATGTACTCGTCGTCGCTAAGATCATGGGCCGACGAGTTGCCCATCGTCATGACGAGCGCATCTTCCTCGTCCTCATCGATCGTCGCGCGGTCGTCGAGGCCATACTCCTCATCGGCGACGCCACCATCTTCGACGCTCTTCGTCGCAACCATCGTGCTTTTACTGTCGAGACGGCCGTTGTGGCCAGCCGAAGTTCGAAGACCATAGAACTTCGATCGAAGATGTCGCCCGGACGCAGCTAATCGCACGCAACTCGTACATTTCGTGTCGATCTCACAATCCGCGATGCCAGTTTCCCGCAGTGTACTCATTAAACCTCAATCCTCTTCTACTAGCGCATTTCTGGCATTGGAAATGACATCAAAGCAGTGTTTCGAGGTCATTTTACAACAGCTAAGGCATTCACTTGATGTCGACGGCAGCTACTACGCATCGCTTGCATCCATCGCCTGGTAGGCGCCACCGTGGTCCGCTTCGTCGCGAAGCTGTTTGCGGCGGATGAAGAAGGCGGCAGCCGCAATGGCAGCAACGCCGACACTCACGCCGATGCCGATGCCGACTTTGCCGCCGGTCGAGAGACCACTCGACGTGCTCGACGTCGTCTTGGCCGACTCGGATTGAGTCGACTCGGATTGGGTCGACGGCGCAAGTGCTGCATAGGCACTCGCCGTCAAGCACTTGGACGGGTTGTTGCAGAGGTATCCGGACGGACACACCGCCTTGCCTTGATGGGCGCCAAAGGACGCGCTCTTGGTCAGCGTCACGTCGCCCGTGGAGAAGAAGCTGTCAGCGTCCGGCGTCGTCGGCTTGAGCTCGCAGACGTACGACGTACCGGATTCAAACGTCGTGAGCGGCTACAGACCACACGCGTTTCACACTATGGTGTGGAGGAAAGCGCACCTGCGCCGTGCAGCCGCAGGACGATGCGCAGGCGACGGGCTGAATGCTGCCCTGGGCGCTCCATCCGTTGCAGTTGGTCGAGCAGCGTGGCGCCATCACGTCGCCTGTTAAAAGGCCGTTGAAGAGGCCGTCGATGCTTGCTTGGGGCGGCGACACGCCGGCACCAATAAAGCCCAGCATGTCGAGTGCGCTCTTGTACGTCAGCACATCGACCTCGGCCTTGACGTTGCTGTTCAAGTACGTGCACGATAGGACCGGTTTGTGGCTGTTGCGGCACGTGCCACCGCAGCACACGTCGGCGCCGGCGCAGAACTGGACGTTGACGCCGGCCGAGACCTCACGCGTCAGCGAGCCGACGCACGAGCCAACGCCCAGAAACGATTTGTGTCCACACGGCGTGGCGGCCGAGCACTTTTCGCACTCCGGGTGCGCCTCCAGCACCGAGTCGACGTTGACGCGAGTGCCCGCATAGGTAAGAGCGCCTAGGCCGCGCGCATTGAGGACGTGGTCGACGTACGGCGCCGCGACGGTCGTGACATCGCCCGCGGCAAAGGATGCGAGCGCGAGGAGCAGCGTCGAGTGGCGCAGCATGGTCCAAGCGATTTGTGTCGTTTCGTAGAAAAGGCTCCACACGCCCCTTTAAGATCGCTTGTCTAAAATCACGCACTTTACGTGGCGGTCGCACGACAGTTGAGTGGCGTCCATAGCTCCATTTACGCATACTGCGCGAGGGTTTGCTATGGCATCGCCAGTCTCATAACCAGCGTCTTATGTGCAGCGTCGTGGGTGTGGTGGCTGTCTCTCAAACTCAAAGTGCAATGTCAAGTTGAGATTGCACTTTGAGACTACGAACACTACTCCACTGGAAACCAGGATACGATTCGAATCTTGTGCTTGTAGACAGAGTGTTGAATGCACGAGCCCATCGGTGTCGACGCCACTCGAGCACCTTGCACGGCCGAGTCCCAACAAGGAACCTGTGAAAACCAATATCGATCCAGTCTCCGAGGTATCGAAAAAGGAAGATCTTCCGGGTTCGAGATTTGCAGCCTTTCTGCATTTCTGCATTTCAGATCCCATGGAGACGACCAAGCCGGCGCCGTCGCTGCTCAAGCGCCTCGCCAAGCGCGTGCTTGTGCAGCCCACCGTGCGCTTCGGCCTCGGCGCGGCCTTTGGCCTCTCGACGGCCGTCGCTGTCTGCTTCTTCCCGTTCCCAAAAGGCAAACTCATGAGCGCTGCGTTCGCGCCCTTCATGCTCGTCTTCGCCTACCTCCTCGAAAAGTACACGACCACGTCCGTGTGCCTGCCTACCACGTGCCTGCGCATCTGGCACGGCAAGGCGAGCTTCCTCGCCGCGGCGACGGTCTACCTTGGCATGTACGCAGGTGCGGCGTACATCACGCGTCAGCTCCATGGCGCAATCGCGTCGTCGCCGACCAAGGACCAGGACCACATGGCGCTCTTTAGCGAAAAGCTCTTTTTCGAGATGCAAGACGTACGTTTTCCACACTCGATGTTGCGAAATGGAGTGATGGCTACGCTCTACGTAGACGATCGAGTCGCGCCTTAAGCAGACGGCCATCATCACGGCGTTTTTTTATGCGCTCGACCATGTGCTCGTCCAGGCGGCGCTGCATATCTTTAGCTTTGTCTGGCTCGTCTTGCTGCCCGAGATGAACCCGGCGATTGCAATGGCGTTTCTTGGCCACAGCGACAAGCTCCGCGGCGACGACCTCGCGCGCTTCTGGGTCAACTCGGTTTTCCTTGTACTCGTGAGCATCCTCGGCCTCCAAGTCGCCAAGTGGGGTCTAGTCGCAACGAAGGCAGGTATGACCAAGTGGAAAGAACACTCGAAAAGGGCGACTTTGCGCAAGCCGAAGCGAGCGTAGAGTGTCTTGCGTACTCCAATGGGAGCCACCATGTCGATATCTATATACTTTTACATGTACTAGTACTTCTTTTCAGATTTCGAAGCGTTGGTGCGAAGGTATCGACGATACGATCTGGGTGCATTGCGTTGGGCGTGGAATAGAGATGCCCGAAGTTCCATCGAGGCTAAAGGACGATGATGTGTTCTGGCGGCTCGCTCTCAATTAACCGGAACGCGCACTCTTTCGGGACAGTGCGGTCAAACTTTCCAGAGCCACGTGCAGGAGCAACTGTGATAGAGCCGACACGAGCCTTGAGTTCATGTTGCCTGGATCATCATATTCGCCATGCATCGCGGCTAAGCGAGACGGTGTCACTCTCTGTAAGGATTTCATGCTGCAACTCGAAAGTACTTTGCGGGCTACTCTACAGGCGTAAATTGGAGTCCGTGTTAGAACTCGGTCGGTCACCGACAAGGGAACAATCAAAGTCCCGTGGTAGCCGCTGAATGCCTCGCTGGGGCTGGACTCAAGTGGATGCACTTGACACCGATTGCTGTACTCGTTGCGCTACGTGGCGTGTGCCTCAATCCTCGCAGTTAAAAGACGGCTTTGATTGATATCGAATAAGATGAAGCTTATTGGGCATCTGATTGAAGTGGCTAGCGATCTTGCAGCGACGACTGCTGGGCGATGGATGCATCCGGATATTCCACTAAATTGTCCGCATAATCCCAAAAATGCAGCATTTTCCATCGTGATGGCACAGCGACCCCGACGAGCGCCGGCGTCGGTCCTTGGCGTCACCGACGTCCTCACGACGATCATCCAGTGCACGCCAAAGCCCAAGGACGTGCTTTCGTTTCTTCAAGCGCTGCCACCGAATGTGCGGACGCCAGCGATGGCTGCGCTTCTCCAGCTCTTGGTGCCCTCCGTCGAGGCCAAGAATGGCTACAGCTACTATTGGCCGCTGGCGTGGCTCGGCAAATCGAATGACGATGACGTCGAACTTGTGGTCGCCGCCGTGCCTCTTTTCAACAACATTGTCCTCGACGGCTTCTCGACGAGCCAGCGATGGCCAGCGAGTGACGACCCCAACTATAGCTTTGGCTTTTGCGCGTTTCTGGCAAAGTGGGCCAAGAAGGTGGTACAATTGAACCTCTTCAAGATTTCTGCCAAGAAGTACCGCCCGGATTTTTGCCGTCTACTGCGCCAGTGCACAAACATCAAGTCGGCGTTCATGCCGTACGAGCCCGACCTTCTCGAGGCACTGATGACCCCCGCCCACAACGTGCCGGACCTCGATTTTATCCCCCCGACTTTAAAAACGCATCCGCTGGAAGCAGCGGCGCTCATCCAGCGCTGGCTCGCGTCCGGTCCCGAACGTCGCGCCAAGTTTCACATGCTGCAAGCCGACGCTGGCCTCGCGTGCGCGCTCGCCTCGTCCCCGCACCTGACGAGCCTCGACGTGAGTCATTCCGAGTGCATTCTCTCCAGCCTCATTTTGAACAGCGCTCGTTTGACACACCTGACCGAGCTTGTCCTGGCTTGCGTACATGGCACGGACGCGCCGGGGGACATTCTGCCGTTGCTGAACCCGCATGTACTCACGAAGCTCTCTATCGAGATTGTCGCTCGCACCGAAGTCGTTGGACTTGCTTCAGCGCTCGCCGAGCTCGTGGCGCTCGAACAACTCGTCCTCAGATGCATCGATCTGCGCACCTTGCCGAGGATCAATGGCGCCGCGGTGTCGGCGATGCGAACGCTTGAATTCTGGAAAGTGCAATTGACGAGTACAAGCGTGGCAAACGTGCTCGACTGGGTCACGCGCTCGCCCCGTCTCGAGTCGGTCATGTGAATGAGCTGTGCGATCTTTGGCAGGAACATTGGCTGCACCATTGACGCGGTCCAGCGATGCATCCGTGCTGGTGCCCACGCCGTGGCATTCGAAGACTGCGGTACGCGCGCGCGACGGCCTTGGCCAACGGACTCCGCAACACCCATGCGCGCCATCGCACCATCATCGACCTCTCGCGCAACAAGGTGCTGATCGCAGCCGCACGCGCAATGCTTTCGGCCCTCGCCACGTGCACCAACGTGTCGATCAAACTGACCAACAGCCTACGCACGCTCTCGGTCGACGACCAGGCCAAGCAAGCGGGCGTCACCATCGAGTGGTACCAGCGCGACGTATGGCCGAGCTGCGGGTTGACGCTGCATTCAACTGGCACCTAGTTGTCGCGAAATGATCGAGTCCAAGTGAAGAACGAGTCCAATATTCCCTTGCATTGGGAAGACGCCATTTTGACGAGAGCTATACCACAGGAACCCTACTAGAACTAGAGGACACCATAATCTGCTAGCCTTACCGGACAATGACGACTACATGAATCCACGGATGCCAATATTCACACTAGCTAACTCAAAACGTAAGGCTTTGAGACCAAGGAGACTTTTGAGCTTTGGCTACTCGTCAACACAATTGCCAAAAGCAGATGGTAGTCTATATGAATGCTTTTTACGTTTCATTCTCGGTCGACTTACGGCGCACCTGGACGCCGTGCTCGAGCGCTGCCAGACCATGCTGCTTTGAGTTTATATTAATAGCCAGTACTGCTGTGTTGCTTAACACGAAGAAACGTCATATCTATCTATCTATCTATCTATCTATCTATCTATCTATCTATCTATCTATCTATCTATCTATCTATCTATCTATCTATCTATCTATCTATCTATCTATCTATATGGAGTTCAACATGCCGGAATGGAGCATCTTTGTCAACCTCGTCGATTTTAGGCTACCCGGATACGAGTATGTGGGCACCGAGTTGGAGTATTTCTCAATATTTTTTTGCAATATTTGCAAAAGTTCCGGAAGAAAAATGGATATGTTCAAAAGTTCCGGAATGTTTTTGATTGGTCAAAAAGGCACTTTTCGGTGAACATGATTGGTTTATTCTGGGCTAATTCGAGGGCGGCCGTCACCAGCAAAAACACTAAATAGTATTAGAATACAGTCAATTAGCCTGACATTCAGGGATAAATAGTGTTATATGATTTGCACTGGGGAAAGCAACAAATCCGAATCATCCTTAAGCAACGATGGCCAGCGAGACGCAGCTCTTACGTGGAATCGCCGCCGACAAGAAGTACAGCGATGCACCTGAAGTCGGTCTTAGCTTCTACGGCGGGCGTCGTCAAGTGACAAGATACGTGAAGGACCGGACACTGGCTAACCGTTTCACGATCGTCGTCGCAAAAGCAGGTACGCTGAAGCGCGCGGTTTGCAAGGTGTTCTGCCGGCGGGCACGTATCGCATTCAAGGTGTGTTTTTTGTCGAAAATGAAGCTGGTTAGCACCGATCTTACATTATGCAATGTAGGCGTGCAAATGAAGCACTCCGATATGGACCCGAGCCCGATGCAGGTGGTCGTTGCGGTGCCATCAACCTCGACTACACCGAAGGGTAAGAAGAAGAAGGAGCAAGACGTTGTGGCTTACCTCAAGGCCATCAGTCCAGAGCACTAGACGGTATACGGCAACATGGAGGTGTACAAGACAGAACCCCTCGTCACGGCGACTGCTGCACTGGACGTTCGTGCCCTATTTGGCGTCAGGACCACCAGCTTTGTCGAGTCCGACAACGCGATGAGTATGTGCCTTCGTTCATGTGGGTGGTGTTCTAGCTTTATGTCTAGATATCCACTATGGCCTCCGCTTCAACCCTCCGTTTGCAGCTGTGTACCTCAGGGTGGCAGAGGTCATGCAAACGGCGGCCACTCGACGACGCGAGGTTGAGCGTGAGTCGTCCAGCCTGGAACTTCCAACGCTTACCAAGTTCGCGCACGACAACTACGAGAATTCGCTCGAGATGGCTCAAGCGTACACGATCCAGGAGTCAACAAGGTCAATTTTGTTTGTGTACTGCGAGTCCCACCTTGAAGCCAAGCGCGAGGTCGATGGCGAGAAACTGAAGTGTGTGTGCCCTTACCGGGAGCAGACGCAGATGCCTTGCAACAAGAGTACTAGTACACAAATGAATTTATGTACTACACTTTACTCTTGCTTGCAACTCAATCGTGCGCTTGAGCACATCAGCGCGCTGCACCGCATCAACGAGTGCTTTCACAAAATGAACAAGTTCGGGAACTACAAGCGAGCGGTGATGACAGTCTCGCACCGCCCGCCGCTGTACGCCGACCGCAAGCCCGAAGGTCGCATTCTCCCATCTAAAGTCGTTGCACGCGCAGGCAGAACGCAGTCGAAGCGCATCGCGAGATCGGGCGAGTCGGACACGGCGGGCAAGGCGACAAAGCTCTACCAGCAACGTGGCGCAGCCAGGTTGGCGCCGTACAAGTGCAAGTCCTGTGGCGGCGAGGGTCACAACGCGGCAACATGCCGCAAACGACAACGGAAGATCTTGCCATCGTCACATTTCCTTGTCTAACACTATTTAGGGTTTTTGCTGCTGACGGCCGCCCTCGAATTAGCCCAGAATAAACCAATCATGTTCACCGAAACGTGCCTTTTTATCGAATCAGAGTCATTCCGGAACTTTTGCAAAAATTGCAAAAAATTCCGGAGCTATTAGACTGCTTTTGCTACCAAGAAATCTTGATTATGGTAGACATCCGGAGAGAGAGCCGGTTCGTGAAAAGTGAGTCGCGTGTCCAGTGTTTTTGCAAACGTGATATTTCAAATTTTTCGATTGGACCAGCGATTGAACCATGGACAACGGACTGCTTGCGCTTCCTCTCGTCTTGCTTCTTGTCCAGCTCGCCAGTAGTGCGACCTCCCGGGCCATCTCCATTCCAAGTACACGGTTCAACTTTGCCGCGCAAAGCGAGGCCGATTGTCTGTACAAGTTCCGCTTTACAAAGCAACAGATCATCGAGCTGGTGCGCTTGCTTCGCTTGCCCGACGTCATCATCACAGC